TAAAGGGGAATAATCACTTCTCTGGATCTGCTGGAAATGCTCCTCCTAATGCATCCTAATATTCTATTGGCCTTCTTGGCTACAAGCGCACACTGTTGACTCCTATCCAGCTTCTCATCCACTGTAATCCCCAGGCCCTTTTCTGCTGAACTGCTACTTAGCCAGTCGGTCCCCACCCTGTACCAATGCTTGGGATTCTTCCGTCCCAAGGGAGGACTCTCCACTTGTCCTTGATGAACCTCAGATTTCTTTTGGCCCAATCCTCCAATCTGTCTAGGTCACTCTGGACCCTATCCCTGCCCTCCAGCGTATCTACCTTTCCCCCAGCTGAGTGTTATCTGCAAACTTGCTGAGGGTGCCATCCATCCCCTCATCCAGGTCATTAATAAAGACGAACAAAACCGGCCCTAGAACCATAGAGCTGAAGAGACCTCAAAAGGTCATCAAGTCCAGCCCCCTGCTCTAGGCAGGACCAATCCCAACTAAATCAACTCAGCCAGGGCTTTGTCAAGCCGAGACTTATCCTTGGGGCACTCTGCCAGTAATCGACTGCCAACCTGACAGAACCGTCAATCACTACCCATTGGGCCTGACAATCTAGCCAGCTTTCTATCCACCTTACAGTCCATTTATCTAATCCAGACTTCCTTAACTTATGGCAAGAATATTGTGGGAGACCGTGTCAAAAGCTTTGCTAAAGTCAAAAGCTTATTCTAGTGTTCTGCAGGTGGGGGCTAGCCGTTAGTTTTAGCAAACAGTTCTACAGCTAGGGCATCTGGACAGCTGTTGCTTGGTTACACCAACACACTGGTGGGGTTTGGTCTTAATGTAGGATACGATATTGCCACTGATTTGACACCCAGTGAACGGAGCCAGCTGTGATCAGCGTGAAAACCCCAATTTCCCATTCTTGTAAGTGCCGGAGTTTGAGCCCAGCCACACACTGCAGAGAGCGCTAGAGTTCTGACGAAGCAGCAACCTTCTGGAAAGCTCTTTGACTACGAGACTCCTTGGCTCCAAGGACGAGCAATCCCTCCGGCAAGAATGCTGCTGGGGAGAGGAAGGGAGAAGCGATGGAGCAGCCACTCAGATTACAGACCATGCGCACAGTTCCAGTCTCAGTCAGACGAAACCAACTCTGAGCAGAGGAAGTCAGGAGGTCTCCAAAGGCTATTGAAGTCCCTGCCTGACCATGCTACAGAGCCAAGCCAGCCACCCAGAGCCCTCACTGTCCCATATTGCCGCTTGCCCAGACACCTCTGTAATGGTTTCCTCAAAAAAAAAAAAAGCGGCCTGCCAAAAAATATGGTCGAGCCTCAGAATGTTCAGCCAGAAGTTAGATGTTAGTTCCGTGTTTTCCAGCAAGACCCGGCTCAAGAACTGGAGCAACTGCTGGCAGTTGAACTGGCCACAAAGAAACTAAAACTCTCCCCCCGTGAAAAGTTCACTCGCCTCGGCAACTCGGAGCAACAGCATCACGGCCACTTTCAAGCGTGTCAACGGAAAGCAACACACGTGTCACTTCTCCTAGGCACAGCATTCCAGCAGCAGCGCTGTCTATGCAGCTGAACGAAGAGGTACAAGATGAAGGCACCAGGAAGTGCCCATGAAGCAGTGCCATCTGACGGACACGAAGCTTGCCACAGGATCCAGCAGCCGAACACTAGAGCCACTGGCCCACGTTATCAGAGCTGGCTAGAGACTAGCAGGGACCTCAGATTTCGAGTGCCCACCTAGTAGTGGTCTCAGGTTGGACATCTAACACAAAGTCTTGGTTACCAAGTTTGCCTGGCGGGGGGGGGGGGTGCTTTGGCATGTTCCACCACTTGAAGAACCACATCAAGGACTGCAAAGGGTGGAAGTTAGCTCATAACAAAGAGATGCTACCTGTGACCGAGTGGCATATGCTTCTATGTGCAGCATTGGAGAAGGAAATCAAGGGACCTCAGGGAACATTTAAGCTACAACCAGAAATCCCACCAAAACGGGAGCGAGCAGTTGAGCCACAAGGGTTCTTTACCTACTAGAAAAGGTGAACCCAAGAGAATTGGGCACATTCAGTTCCATTTTTGAGGAGAAAAGGAATTAAGAAGGGCTGGGAGGGGTGGGGGAGGAAGGGAGAGAGAGAGAGAGAGAGAAGAGGCAGGTCATTTAAGTTTCTCTTCAGTTCTAGTCTGTCTGTAGAAAGGAGAAAATTCTCTCTTCTGCGTCCCCAGATAACATAGGGAAAGGCAGCTTACCCTTCAGACAGCTGGAGCGTTGTTACTGCAGTGGGTTGCTAGTGGATTTGGTTTACGGGTGTCCTGTTAGCAGACGACTGCAGGGACCATGAGATGTCTCAACATTAAGTCACTGATGTCTGATCACAACAAACCATCCAGATGGCTACAAGCAGCTCAATAGTGTGTGCAAAAACGAAAGAGGTCCAGGTGGTGACGCATAAGGATCTTCTGTTGTACCCCGGAAGCAGGGAAAAGTACAAGATCCCAGATCTGTGGGTGAAAGCCCCGAATTAACCCAATAAGAGGGTTGCAAGAGCTTTCACCATCAAGGTAAGAGAGCTTCAATGCTCAATGGGAAGAGGTTTCCCTGAAGGCCTCTGCTGCTTCCCCATTACAATAGGTGGTTGTGCTGGAAGGAAAAGCCATGCCATTTAGCACAAATACACAGAAGGGCCCAAACTGAAAGTTTGACTAGTCTTTTTGTTCTGTGTTTGTGCAGCATCTAAAACGATGGGGGTCACGATCTCGGATCAATGCCCCATGTGCGGAAGTAAATAAAAGTCAGTGATGTCGAGAGGGCCTTTACCTACCTTGGACTCGAGGTAGACATTTGCCGTTGACATCTTTGCAAGTTTGCACATACAGCAAGCTAATGAAATGGCACAAAGGATGAAGAGACTCTCGTTGACTAGCGCCCGGACAAACACAGTCCATCTCAGCCGGCTCTCCGGGACATCTCCATGAATGAGCATTGCACAAGTTAAATTCACCACGAGAAAGAGGAGGCTGGTAAATATGGAGCCCAGATACAACAGAACCCTGGAAAGGAAAGAAACAAGTTGATTGAGCAAGACCGTCTGAAGACGTCTCTGCCGCCCCACCAACTCTCGTGCCCTTTAATCAATTCAGAGAATCTGAGGGTTGGAAGAGACCTCAGAAGATCAAGTCCAATCCCCCGCTCAAAGTGGGATCAAACCCAACTCAATCAACCCAGCCAGGGCTTGGTCAAGCTGAGACTCAAAAACCTCTCGGGATGGAGATTCCACCACCTCCCTAGGGAACCCAGCCCCATGCTTCCCC